TGGGGCCTGGGAGCCGGAAGCGGCGGCGCGGCCGAGAGGGCGGGCCCTGCGCACAGGAGACCCAGCGGGGTTCACATCCTCCGCGCCGCCGCCTCCTGCCGCCGCCCGCGCCCCCTTCAGCAAGGGGCTCCGAGGGGCGTCCGGAGAGGGCCCGGCGGAGGCCCCGCGCCCACAGGGAGCATGGGCGTGCTCAGGCCCGGGCTGTGCCCTGGCCTCACCCGGGACATGGTCCAGCTGCTGAGGAGCCGCGGGATCAGGACAGGTGACCGCGTGAGCTCTGCAGTGCGCGCCGCGCGGCGGGGCACACCGCGGGGCCGCCCCCCTGCCCTGGCATTCCCGGGCGGAGGCCTTCCCTCCTCCTCTGCCCCCACCATTCTGGAGAGGCTGGGGAGGTGGGAATGGGGCGAGCCCCCCGGAGGAAGGGCAGGACCCCTCCCGTGTGCCAGGCTCCACGCCAGCCCCTAGCTCTGGTATTTCACGTAGGCCTCCTGAGACGGCCTGCCCCGAGGTAGAATTGTCCCCCCATTTCACAGATGAGGCAAAGCCAAGCGTGGGAAGCCCGGGCCGCCCTTCCTGCCAGTCAACCGCACGTGTTTTGGTTTCAGTGGTGGACCTGGTTTCTGCGGACCTCGAGGAGGTAGCCCAGAAGTGTGGCTTGTCTTATAAGGTGAGCTGATAGTCTCCGTGCTCCAAACCCGGGTGTCTGTGAATGCCCATCTCAGCTAAGGGAGCAAAGTTTCCCAGACATTGATAAGGGGTGTGGGGGCGCGTATGAGACCCTAGGATACCCTTCCCTTGGCTGGTCATTACCGAGTACTCTGGGCTGCTTTGGGTTGAAGTGCCTCTGTCCCATCCGGAGTTGCCGCTGTCCCTTCTGCAGGCCCTGGTCGCTCTCAGGCGGGTGCTGCTGGCTCAGTTCTCAGCTTTCCCCTTCAATGGCGCTGATCTCTACGAGGAGCTGAAGACCTCCACTGCTATCTTGTCCACCGGCATTGAGAGGTTTGTGTGTGTACTTGGGGAAGAAGGTGAGAGGCAGGAGGACGAGGCTGCCTCCACTTTGGCTTTTGATGCTGGAGTCTAGAGAGAGCAGGGTTTTCAAGCAGTGGTGAGGGCAGTCTGGACGCGTAGTCAGGACTTCTGAGTTCTCTTACCCTGTAATGAGGTTTCTCCACCTCACACTCTCAAGATTTGGGATGTGTACTTATTTGGTGTGGGGGGCAGGGGCCTGTCCTGTGTGTTACAGGATGTTTGGCAGCATCCCTGGCCTCTGTCCACTAGATACCAAGAGCACCTCCTTCCCCTCCATGTTGTGACAGTCAAAAATGTCTCCAGACATTGTCAAATGAGGCCCCAGGGGCAAAATTGCCCCTGGTTGAGAACCACTGTCCTATAAAACAAGATGTCAGTATTTCATTATGATTCAGCAGGTCAGAGCAGCTCTTCTCTAGCCCTGCCTCCTATTTCACTTAAGAATAGGGCAAGAGAGAACATGACAGGACCAACATTTATTGAGTGCCTACTAAATACCAGCTGTAACTATAGGTTATATAATCTCTTCGGTGACCCTGGGAGTTAGTGATTATTAACCCCACTTGAGTTTACCCAAGAGGAGTGAGGGGCAGAGGTGGGGCTCAGGCCCTGGTACTTAACCCAGAACTTGGTTCGTTCCCCCTACGCTGCGGCAGGAGGGGACAAGAGAGCTTCCGTAGAAGAGTAGTTCCATTCTTCTGGGTTGTTGGGAGAGGGAAAGAGTTGGAAGACAATAGCCAGTTTCTGGCCAAAGAGTCTGACCTCTCTGCTGGCCTGCTTGTGCAGAATTTGATGAAGAGCTCTGTCACCGCAAAGGTCTTTGGATTGGTTTGGCCCTTCCTATTTCCATGACACGTTCTCTTGGCAGGGTTCACACGGCACGGTGCTTGCTCCCTCTGGTTGGGAGTCTGAGTCTGTTATCCGTCAAGCACTGGCTGAGGGCCTGCTGGGTGCTCCGTGTGAGGTTTGTACTGAGTGCCTACTGGGTGCCAAATACGTGCAGGTGATTCGTGTACGTATGAGGCGAGGCTCCTGCACTTAAGGGCCATGGGGCCTAGTGGGTAGAGAGAAGTATAAGCATGTGTGGAGGCAGCATCAGGGGGGTGTTATTAATAGGAAGCTGACTTGGCCTTAGGGCTTAGGGAGCTTGTAAAACCAACATAGGCAGAGGAGGCGTTTAGGGAGCAGTCAAGTGGTAAACTGCAAGATTGCAGCTGCGTGGGGTCACTGCGAGGGGTCACAGTGGTTCAGGAAGCTCTAAAGGAGGCAGGCCTTGGGCATTGAGGAGCGGATTGGCTTTCTCTGGGTGCTTACCAAGAACCAGGCCTCATACTTGCACTTCATGATGCATTAATTCATTTGTTCTTCACAACCACCGATGAGCGCATTACGGTGAAAATCACCATTGAGGAGGAGGAAACTGGGACTCGGGTTAGGTGACTTGCTCAAGATGGCACAGCTAGTAAGTGGCAGACCAGGCACTTGAAGTCATGGCTGTCGCACTGCTAAGTCCAGGGACCTAACTCGCACTTGTCTGCCTTCTTGCCTCCCTGGAGGTGGGAGGCCGTATTGTGGAAATAGAGCTATACCCAGTGGGGTAGAGGTGTGCAGGGTGGACGGGACTAGGGAGCCTTGTAGGAGAGAGGGTGGGGGTACAAGTCTGATCTAAGGCAGGTGATAGCGGGAGACGTGTTGAAGAAGACCTGTGATGTGCCATACTACCGGGTGGGATATAGGCATGAATCGAAAATAATTCACTAGATTTCTAGCCTTCCTCATTGTTCTGCGGACAGTTAATGAACGTAAGTTTAGAAAGGGAGGGGGGCAGTTCTGTAGTCAAGAATTTGGGAAATGCTCCATTAACCCAAATTGAACAGGTTTCTTTGTTGTGGGCCTTCTCAGAGCCTTTAGTGCTGATGTGCAGGACTGTAGAACATGTAGTGTACCTTGGAAGAAGCTGTATTGATTGGCGGAGCTTGGTGGTTCCTTGAAGACCAGAGCTATGGCTCTATATCTCCTTCATTTTATTTATTTATTTATTTACTTTTTGTGTGTGAGGAAGATGAGCCCTGAGCTAACATCTGCCAATCCTCCTCTTTTTGCTGAGGAAGACTGGCCCTGGGCTAACATCTGTGCCCATCTTCCTCCACTTTTTCATATGGGACGCCGCCACAGCATGGCTTGACAAGCGGTGCGTCGGTGTGCGCACGTGATCCAAACCCCGGGCTGCCGCAGCGGAGCGCACGCACTTAACCGCTACGCCACCGGGCCGGCCCCTCTCCTTTGTTTTAGAGTAAGGCATTCAGGACACGTGAGGCATTCAGGCGATGTTTGAATGAATGCCTGAAAGCCAGTCCAGAGGGAAATGTGGAGGAGAAATCCCAGGAATCACTTGTATTCAAGACAAGTGGTAAAACCCAGGTGGGCTTCTGCTCCACAAGGCAGGCTGGAGTCTCTCTCCATGTTGACGTGCCAAGTTAGAGGAGACTGGTAAGACGGTCCTCTAGGCCGTAGGAGATGTGGAAGATAAACATAGGTGAGAAGTCAGCTGGGAGGTGGATTTGGGAATTCTTTATGCAGAGTGATCCTCACAGCCAAGAGTGTGGTTGATTGTTGACTGGAGAGTCAAGCCCAGTGGTTTAGCCCAGGCTGCACATTAGAATCGTCTGGGAAGCTTAAGAAATATTTATGCCTGGGCCCCCCTTTAGAAACTCTAACTTAATTGCTCTAGGCCAGTGGTTCTCAAACTTGTCTGCACATCAGAATCACCAGGGGATCTTTAGACATTCCGAAGCCCAAGGCTCCTGCAGACCAATGAAATCCCATTCTCGGGGGTGGGACACAGGCATCAGTATTTTTTGAAGCTCCCAGGTGACTCCAATGTGCAGACGAGTTTGGGAACTGCCGATCCTGGCCTCTTTTTCTAAAACCCCTCTGGTGATTTCATTATGCAGGCAGGATTGAGAATCACTAGTCTAGCCTCATGGTTTTCAGACTTGAGCATGCATCCCCATCACCCAGAGGCCTTGTGTAAGCTCAGATGGGGACTCCACCCCCAGAGTTTCTGATTCATTACGTGTAGGGTGCAGCCTGAGAGTGCGGTTCTAACCAGTTCCCAGGTGATGCTGATGCTGCTGGTCTGGGGACCACACCAGGAGAACCACTGCTGTAATGGCACTGGGGGTTCTCTGATCTCAGTGGAAGGAACCAGGTCCAGGGGGGGAGAGGCTCCATGCTCTTCAAACAGGTGCTTATTAAACAGAAACAAGATGAACACAATTACCCCAAGAAGCCGTGGGGCTGGAGTGGTAACCAGAACGTTTTGACTGGCAGGGACCTGTGGTTATAATCATGGGGTCCCTGGTATTGAAATAGATGGGGTGCTTACTAAGGGCTGCTTGGCACATACAGAGGGGTCATGGGAGGTCCTCAAGAACCATTTCAGGGGACTGGAGGCTGTGAAGGTGATTGCAGGATAGAAAAGGGATGTGTGTGGTCAGGACTCGGAGGCATTGGTATAGGCTGTGGCATAGGAGGAGAAGCTTCAGCCTGCAGGTTGGGCAGGGCATAGGGGGTGGGTAGTGACCTGTTTCATGGTGGTTCAAGGACAGAACCTGGATTAGGAATTGGCCATGTCGTGAGTTTATCCCAAGGCTTCCACAGCCCGAGTGTTGACAATATAGGACCTAAATAGCACTGTTCTGTCACTCAGTTCTCTGGGAACATTTATTGTGTGTCTCCTGTGTTTCAGGCACGGTGCCAGCGCTAGGGATGTGATAGTGAACAAGGCCCAGTCCTTGCCCCAGGGTGCTCCCGGCCAAATGGAGAAGACAGATGAAAACAAGCAAATAGAAAATAATTACAAACTCCTAGAACTAATAAGTGAATTCAGCAAAGTTGCAGCATACAAGATCAACACACAAAAATCAATTGTATTTCTATATACTCAAAATGAACATGTGGAAACGGAAATTAAAAACCCGATACCATTTACAATTGCTCCAAAGAAAATGAAATACTTAGGTCTAAATCTAACAAAGCAGATACAGGATCTGTATGCTGAAAATTAAACATTGCTGATAAAAGAAATCAAAGACGGCCCAAGTAAATGGAGAGACATACTGTGTTCGTGGATTGGGAGACTCAACATAGTAAAGATGTCAGTTCTCCATAAATTGGTCTGTAGATTGAATACAGTTCCTACCAAAATCCCGGCAAGGTTTTTTTGTAGAAATAGGCTTATTCTTATAATTATATGGAAAAGCCAATGACCTAGAATAGCTAAAGCAATTTTGAAAAAGAAGGATAAATTTGGAGGAGGCACTCTACCAAATGTTGAGGCTTACTCTATACCTATAATAATCAAGATAAGTGTGGTATTGCAAAGATAGACACATAGATCAGTGGAGCGGAAAACCCAGAAGTAGACCCACAAATAATGTCCAGCTGATTTTTGACAAAGGTGCAAAAACACTTCAGTGGAGGAGGGATATAGCCTTTTGAACATATGGTGCTGGAGCTGTTGGACGTCAGAGGTAATAAATAAACCTAAACCTCCCACCTTATACAAAAGTCGAAAGTGGATCACAGACTTAAATGTAAAACTTAAAACTGTCAATGGGGCCGGCCCCGTGGCTTGGTGGTTGGGTGCGCGTGCTCCGCTGCTGGCGGCCCGGGTTCGGATCCCGGGCGCGCACCGACGCACTGCTTCTCCGGCCATGCTGAGGCTGCGTCCCACATACAGCAGCTGGAAGGATGTGCAACTGTGACATACAACTATCTACTGGGGCTTTGGGGGGAAAAAATAAATAAATAAAATCTTTAAAAAAAAAAAAAACTGTCAAGCTTTATAACGAAACAGGAGAAAGTCTGGGAACTGGGGCTAGGCAACGGGTTCTTAGACTTGACAGCAAAAGTATGATTAAAAAAAAATTGATAAATTTTTAAAATCAAAATTCAGAACTTATACTCTGCAAGAGAATGAAAAGACAAGCTATAGAGTGGGGAAAATATTTGTAAGCAGCATATTCAACAAAGGACTTGCATCTAGAATACATAAAGAATTCTTAAAACTCAACAGCAAAACAATCCAATTAGAAAATGGGCAGAAGACATGAACAGACATTTCACCAAAGAGGACTTACAGGTGGCAAAATAATCACATGGAAGATGTTCAGCATCATTAGTTATTAGGGAAATGCAAATTAAAATCACAATGAAATATTGCTACACACCTACCAGAATGGCCAAAATAAAAAATGGTGGTAACAGCAAATGCTGGTGAGGATGTGGAGAAACTGGATCACTCATACATTGCTAGTGGGAAAGGAAAATGGCATAGCCGTTCTGGAAAATAGTAGTTTCTTATAACATTGATCTGTGCTTATCTTACAACCCAGCAATTGTATTCTTGGGCATTTATTCCAGAAAAATAAAAGCTTAGGTTTACACAAAAACCTGTACGTGAATCTTCGTAGCAGTTTTTTTCATAATTGCCCAAAACTGGAAATAGGGAATATGTCCTTCAATGGGTGAATGGTTAAACAGACTTGGTACATCATACCGTGGAATACTACTCAGTAATAAAAAGGAACAAACTATTGATACAACACCTTGGATGGATCTCGAGGGAATGATTTGGAGTGAAAAAAAGCCAATCACAAAGGTTACATACTGTATGATTCCATGTGCATAAGATCCTTGAAATAACGTAATAGAGATGGAGAACAGATGAGTGGTTGTCAAGGGTTAGGGATTAGAGGTAGAGAGGAGGGGTGTGGCTATAAAGGCTAGCAACAAGGGAGCCTTGTAGTGATGGAAATGTTCTGTATCTTGATTGTGGTGGTTACATAAACCTACACGTGTGATAAAATGGCATAGAACTCTACACAGACACATGGAGGTAACACTGGTGAAATCTGAATAGGCTCTGTGGATTGCACCGGGTCAATCTGTGATACTGTACTGTAGTACAGTACATCTTGTAGTGCAAGATGCCACCATCAGGTGAAACTAGGTGAAGGGTACACAGGACCTCCCTATACATTTTTTGGCAACTTCCTTATTTCAGAGTTAAAAAAAATGACAAATTATGAGAAATGTTATCAAGAAAACCCACAAGGGGCTGAGATGGAAAATGAAAGGATCATCTTTTGAGAGGGCGGCAAAGACCTCTGTTGGGAGGTTGGTCTTTAAGCTGAAGTGAAAGGATGAGGAGGGGCCGGGAGAGCAACGTTTAGCCGTGCCCTCTTTCCCCAAAGGAAGCTCCACCAGGAGAAGCCTCCTGGCCAGAGATGTTCAGAATGTCTCTGGACAGAACCAGTGCTTGGAAGGAATGTCTTGCTTTTCTTCTTGGTTCCTACTCCCTCCCTTCCCTCCAATCCCTTGGGTTGATTCTTTTCCCTCCTATTCTGCCATCAGCCTGGACAAACTGCTTGATGCTGGTCTCTATACTGGAGAAGTGACTGAACTCGTAGGAGGCCCGGGTAGCGGCAAAACCCAGGTACACGTGTGGCCAGCAGCCAGGAGGATTGGGGGAGAGGGGTGCATGGCTCTGGATCCCTGGGGGGGCTTCTGCCATTGTGCTTGTGATTCAGAGCTCCGAAGAGAGAAGGTGGTGGTGAGGAGTGGGGCTTGACCTTGGCCCATTTGTGTTGCTGGGATCTGGACAAGATTTGGTGGGGAGCTCCCATTCTGGGCCCTCTCTGAGGGCTCAAGTTCACCCAATGCCCCATCTGCTCAGGTATGTCTTTGTGTGGCTGCAAATGTGGCCCATGGCCTGCAGCAGAACGTCCTATACGTTGATTCCAGTGGAGGGCTGACAGGCTCCCGCCTCCTCCAGCTACTTCAGGCCAGAACCCCAGATGAGGAGGAGCAGGTAAGGGGCAGGAGGGGTGGGTTCCTTTGAGATTCTGACACCAAAAGACCCCATTATCCTTTACATTGCAAGCACTTGGGCCATTTGGATGAATAGTTATTTCTGGCTTTGAAACTTGCTGTTTTATTAATATTTCCTGTATTCTTCAAGCCTCCCCTGTTATGACATCACCCCAGCTTGGATGCTAGCCACACTGATCCTTCCAAGAAACTAATTCAGGGCTGGCAAACAGCCTGCATCTGTGTGTCTATCCAATTTCTTGCCCTTGGCAGACATTGCTAATCAGTCCTATCATTCATTCCCACTGAGCTCTGACTTGGCTTTGCAGCTCAGCACCCAGGCAGCCACCACTGTGAGAACCGACCCATTAGACAAAGCCCATTTGCCATCCTGGACCTGAGTCCTTGTGTCTAGGGGCCTCTTCCTGCTCAGCCTTAACATCCCTCTTCATCTTGCTCCACCCCCTGCTCCCTCTTATCCGAAGCCCCTCCTTCTCGTCCCTACCTCTTCAGGCGGGAGCTCTTCAGAGGATCCAGGTGGTACGTGCGTTTGACATCTTCCAGATGTTGGATGTGCTGCAGGACCTCCGAGGCGCTGTGGCCCAGCAGGTGAGCATGTTGTTCTACCCCTCTGCTTCACCCAGCTTGCCGGGTGCTCTCTGGATATGGGCAGATATCCTCCTACAGACTCTGGAAATGCAGATGTGCAGTCTGGTGACTCCTGCTGTGTTTGCCACTCCCACGATGGGATTCCTGAGTGCCTAATTTATTCCTGAGTGCTTTATTGTTTACACGCCATCTTCCCCACTAAACAGTAAGCCCCTTGAGTGCAAGGATCATGTTATATTCATCTCTGCATGCCCCCACCGGCTCAGTTAGGATTACTTTCAGCTGCGACTAATGGAGTCTGACAGATATTTGAAGCTTGAGGACATTTAATTATCTCAAATGAGTCTGGGGGTTGGCAGGTCCACAGTATCAGGGCTCTAGGTTGGTATGTCTGATTCTCTTGCTCTTCCCCCTCACGATTGCAAAGTGGCTGCTATAGCTCTAAGGATCATGTCTTCACACATCTACATCCATATTCAGGGCAATGAAAGATAAATGCCTCTTTTTGGTACTTCTTCCCTTTTATCAAGCAAGAAAAATCTTTCTCCAGAACTCATTGGTAGACTTCCCACTTCCCCTTACATCTAACTGGCCAAAACTGAGTTATATGTGTTATCTTAGACCAGGGGTTGGGCCCACCTTCCCTAACATCACGAGATTTCTGCCCAGTACCTTAACCCTTTCAGAGTCTTGTTAACAAAGAAGAGGGGTTTGGAATGGCATTTGGGTTGGTACCCTACTATACCTGCTAGATGCTTAGACAGGATTTGGTGCTCTGATTTACAGACTATTAGATTTGGAAGACACCTTAGAATAGTTTAATTCATCTTAAACTTTTTCTCTCACCCCAAAGGATGACATGTTCCCATGGGCATACCCAGGATTGTATATAAAGTAAATCATTTTTACAAACTTTGGAACATATAATGGTTGAACAAATACTTGCCATAGGAGTCATAGCTGGTTATGACCCACCTGTGTGTTGAGACGTGAAGGCAGGTAGTCCTGATCTAATCCAACTCTCTCGTTTCTAGATATGAGGAGAGTGAGGGCTGGAGAAGTTCAGTGAGTCGTCCACAGTCACCATATATTTTTTACTGTAGGAGCATTAGATGGTCTATGTTCTATTATTGCATAACAAGTTACCACAAACTTGGTGACTTAAAACAACACATATTTATTACCTCATAGTTTTCGTGGATCAGGAGTCTGGGCACAGCTAAGCTGGGTCCTCTGCTTAGTGTCACACTAGGCTGTAATCAAGGTGGCAGTTGAGCTGTGTTCTTATCTGGAGGCTCAACTGGGGAAGAATCTGCTTACAAGTTCACTCAGGTTGTTGGCAGAATTCATTTCCTAGCAGCTTCAGTTTCTTGTTGGCAGTTGGCCAGAGGTCACCTTCAACTCCTGGAAGCTGCCTGCTCTTCCCTGCCACGTGGCCCTTTCCAAAGGCAGTTCACAGTGTGGCCACTTGCTTCTTCAAGACGGCATGGGAGTGAGAACAAAATGCAGCACACAGTCTTATACAATGTAATGTAATCACGGGGGTGCCATCCCATTACCTTTGCCATATAACATAGCCTCATCAAGAGAGTGACATTCCAACACCTTTGACATTAGTCAGAAGCAAGTCACAAGACTCACCCATGGTCAAGGGGAGGGGATTATACAACGGCTTGAATACCTAGAGGTGGGGATCTGGGGACCACCTTAGGGTCTGTCTGCCACCGATGACCTGACAGCTCCATAGCTACAGGCAGTGAAAGGCTTGCTGTCGCATTTTAGCCAGAGATTTCAACCTGGTCTCCCAGAGAGAGGAAGAGCTAAGCCAATTTCAGTTTTAGCTTCTCTCTTTTCCGCCATCCTCTCTTAGACAAGCTGAGGACTGGCCAAGAGTCAGTATCTGGAAGATGAAGGAAGAAGTGCAGAAGAGACCAGATAATGCTGAATATCCAAGACTTGGCCAACATGAAGTGAAAAAAAAAAAGTTGTGGAAACAGAATCAGCAAATGACTTGGATATAAAGACTAAGGGAGAAGAGAAGGGAAGCATCAAAGACAGTTTAGGTCCAAGAAACTAGGAGGTTGCTAGTGCTCGTGTAGAGACAAAAAATTATGGTTTTAACAGATGGCTGTCTCTATATCTATATTTGGAACCATTTTAGATCTGGAAGATGAGGCCCCAGAGAAATGATCTAGAAGGAGACAGTGAAGTAAAGAGAAAGGCTGAACTCTTCAGCAAAAGAAGTTAGGAATTTGGGAAGTAAGCAGGAGGGGGAAAAGAAGGACCTGACAAGATGTTGGGGGGCTGGCCATAAGGAGAAAGGTGGCCACTAAGGAAATTCCTGACCAGGGGCAGCAGGACACTGGACAGGGATTTCTCAAATTTCATTATTTTAGGGTATCTGTGGTGTACTGTGATTTAAACCCTCTCTGTCCACCCAAGTCTTTAGTTAAATCTGTTATACAGACAAAGTGGGGTGGGGAAAGAAGACTTGGCTGAAATTCCGTGATTCCTGTGCTCCTGTATTTGGGGTCGGGGGAGGTTATTTCTTACCAGTTTCTGATAGAGGAGCAAGCTTGTCCTGGAATGGGCCAGCTGGTTCATGGCACCTACTTCCCCCCAACCCCCAAGGTGAGCAGTTCTTCAGGGATTGTGAAGGTCGTGGTTGTGGACTCGGTCACCGCCGTGGTCTCCCCACTTCTAGGAGGTCAGCAGAGGGAAGGTGAGTGATGTGGCAGAGCCCAGGGTCAGGGATGTGATCTTGCCTCCCAGATCAGAGTCCAGTCTCCGGCCAGCCCAGTCCCTAATGCCCTGCTGCCTTCCCCCTCTACTTCTCCTCCAGGCCTGGCCTTGATGATGCAGCTGGCCCGAGAGCTGAAGACCCTGGCCCGGGACCTTGGCACGGCAGTGGTGGTGAGGAAGTGGGCTTGGCCAGCCGTGCTTCTCTTGTCTCTGATCCCTGAGCTTCACCAAGCGGGGAGATGAGCTTGATTTCTAGTTATAGCTCTTTATTTCTCTTAAACGGCAGCTTCTGAACTCCCAAAGTGGCCCTTTAGGAAAGGGTCATAACCCCACTTCCCTGAGTCATCTAGAGTGCTGGCCTGGGAGGGGGTCGGATCATAAGTAGCCAAGGGATCAGGAACAGTCTTGTTTTCCTTTTGGCTTTCTTTAAGTCAGGTTTATTGAGGTGTAATTCACATGCAGTAACTTTCTCCTTGTTTGAGGTTTGACTAACGGGTACTGTCATATCCAGTCTTGTTACCCCACCACAGTCAAGATATAGGATACTTCTGTCCCCTCAGAAATGTCCCCCAGCCCCAGACAACCAGTGATCTGGTTTCTGTCCCAATAGTTTTGCTTTTCCAGAGCTTCATAGAAAGGGATCTTTTTGCTTTTAAAGTAGCTTTTTCTGCTTATGGAGTAATTTTTTAGAAGTCTGCATGCTTTTCCTAGAAAGTGTAAAAAATAGTTAATTAGAAGAATCAAATTTGTAATCAATCTCCACATCCACAGAAACCATATTAATATTTTTATATATCTCCATAGAATCTTTTTTCTCTGCATGCATACATATACTTTTAACCAACTTTCCAACTAAACTGTAACCTTGTTTAAAAAAAAAAAACTTACCATCTCATTCCGTTTCCCATGTCGTTAAATAGAGTCTTTAAGAATGCCAATTTTAGCAGTTACATATTATTTTGTTTAATATCTATGTCACGGGGGTCACCAAACTTTTTCTGTAAAGGGCCAGATAATAAATATTTGAGGGCCGGCCCTGTGGCTTGGTGGTTAAGTGCGCGCGCTGCAATGCTGGTGGCCCGGGTTCGGATCCTGGGTGCGCATCGAGGCACCACTTCTCCGTCCATCCTGAGGCCGAGTCCCACATACAGCAACTAGAAGGATGTGCAGCTATGACATACAACTATCTACTGGGGCTTTGGGGGGAAAAATTAAATAAATAAAATCTTAAAAAAAAAAAAAAATAAATAAATAAATAAATAAATAAATATTTGAGGCTTTACAGCCATGTGCTCTATGTTGCAACTACTCAACTTGGCCCGTATAGTGTGAGAGCCACCACAGACAATACCTAAACAAATGGGCATGGCTATGTTCCAGTAAAACTTGATTTTCGAAAACAATTTTGGGACCAAGTTTGGCCTACGGGCGGTAGTTTGCCTACCCCTGGTATACCGTAACGTTCTAACTGTTTCCTGATCTGGGGCCTTTAGGTTACTGGTTTTCCTCTATTTTAAATAAAAGTATAATGAATATTGTTATATCTAAATCTCTTTGCACATCTCATATTATTTCTTCAAACTCCTAAAAGTATAATTACTGAGTCAGGAATACTTGTATTTTTAATGGCTAGATACGACATTGCCAAATTTCCAGGAAGGTTATACTAATGTGTGCACCCACTGGCAGTGGAACTACATCTGTTTTCATATTCTTTTGTTCTTGTACTGGGTCTCAGGGCCTCCCTCTCCTGACTTAAGGCTGTATGTGATCCCCTGCTGTGTGCTGGGCTCTGGCTTAGGCAGTGGGGATTCAGTGATGAACAAGCCACAGCCCCTGCCCTGGGGGGTCGGTGTGTGTGTGGGGAGAACCTCATCAGGAGGATGCTGTGAGGCTCAAGTTGCTTACCTGTGGCTAGCCTGGGCAGAGTAGAGCTGACCGGATTAGGATCCCCTCCTTATAAAACTCTCCCCAACCCCATACACACAGATGCACTACCTGACACAAAGGGCCGGTGGACATGGTCTCAGGACGCCCGTCTGCTGGGTTGGGGGTGTAGTAGGCTCAAGCCCACTACTGGCTTCCCTACAGGAAAGTGCAGACAGCTCTGCTGATTGCCTGACATGTACCCCATAACCTTCTGTTGGAGTTAAGCCTGAGGCATCGTGATTTAGTGAAAGGAGCTGTGCGCAAGTCAGGAGCCCAAGGTTCTAGTTCCAGACCTGCTGTTGATGGGTTATGGAGTCTTGGGGAGGTCGTTTCTCTGTGCTAGGCCTCAGTTTTCCCATCTGTAAAATGAAGCAGTAGGAACAGATGTCCTCTACACTAGCATTATGGATCTATAAGTCTTTGATTCCTTCTGATGCAGGTGACCAACCACATAACCCGAGACAGGGACAGTGGGAAGCTCAAACCTGCCCTCGGACGCTCCTGGAGCTTTGTGCCCAGCACCCGGATTCTTCTGGATATCGGTGAAGGAGCAGGAACATCAGGCAGTCAGCGCACGGCACGTCTGATCAAATCTCCCCGTCTGGTGAGCTGGCCCCTGGGGGAAGCTAGTAATCAGGGCCCTTGAGGGTGGTGTCTGTGCCCACAGATGTCTTTTAGAGGAATTCTTGGATGCTAAGACCCTATAACCAAAGAGGCTACACTTGAGTTGCTTAACTCAAAAACTTACCCTTCCTTTTTGTCTTCTTCCAGCCAACAGGTTTCCAGGAGACAGTAGACATTGGGACCTGGGGAACTCCAGAGCAGAGTCCAGCATTACAGGAAGATCAGATATGACTGTGCTGTTGATTGGGAAAGGGAGAGACGTCAAGGCGCCCGACTCTCCTGTGCAGTAATACCTCCTGTTCCCTGCCACCCAGCCCTTGGGACTGCAGTAGAAGCACTCGGGCTGGGCAGAAGAGACATCTCCATTTCCTCAGCTTCTCTCTCTGTGGAAACACAGAGCTACAGGCGAGAGAAGATGCTATGGTGGATGGACCCAGGAATTCATGCTGGTGCCAAGTTTTCTTTCCTTGTTTCTACTATGTATGTTTCAGTGGGAGCCAAGTTCCCCTTGGCTTGGGGCATCTCTGAAGAGGCACACTAGTGACTAGATGACCCTGTGCATCACCATTGTACCTGTGCTCCATCCTTACACAGGGTCTGAGCCATGAAGCCTCTAGCTTGCCTTTGCTTCTCTTTGTTTTTTTCCATTGTTTTTCCATCTGTAAGATGGGGCTCCCTTTCACTTAGCTCTGTCTGTAAGTTACTGGGTGGAAAGTAACCTCGTAAATGTAAAACTCTTCTTCATCTGTGTCGTGCTCTTAAAAATATAAAAAGGAAATTCCCCAAGCCCCAGAGCCACCTAATTTCCCCCAGAAAGTTGTTTTTCACTTTCCCCCAGTGAGGCCCCAAAGAATAGTCATTCCTTTTTCCCTCCCACCAATTTGGTTGCGCACACCTGCGTGGATCACCATGACTAGGTGAGACTGTGAGCTCGCTGCAATCCCAGGGATATGATTTAACAGGAAAAAAGGATGTGACCTGCTCCTGGTGAATCCAGCCACTTGTTTAATTTGCATGGTGCCCTGTGGGGCCTCTCCACAGTGTAGAGTAACCAGAGGTGCTGAACCGTGGTCTTGCCCATAAACACACAGGAGAATTTGCACAGTAAATAGAGCCAGCTGGGAAAATTGATGCTGGCGTAAATAATACATGGCAAATCTAGTCCTTTATGCAGAAATTCATTGCCAGTGGCTCCAAGATGCAATATAATTACCCTTCTCTTCCTGCCAGCTGTACCATAGCCTAGTGCCCTGGTGTATGAAATAATCCCCCTTTCTGTGACCAGCACTGTGGCCCTCCGTCTGAGAGCTGAAACCCTGGCTGGGAGGGGAGGAGCACACCGGGGAAGGGATAATAAAAGGCAAAGTAGAGAAATGATCAGGTTTGTTTACTGATCACATTTTTTAAAGGAAGGTCGCCTTTCTCAGAGAGCCTGTTGTGTAATTAATTAGTTGTGTCTTGGCTGCAGGAAAGGAGGAGTCAGAGTTGTAGGCAGAAGATACGACATTTAGAGATGATGGATGCAGCAGGGATGGAAGCAAGAAGTAGGGAGGATTGGGAATGAGTGGCAAACAGGCTGCCTGAGTGAAGACAGGGTTGGTGAGCTCAAAACTAGGGGATCCTTGGCGCTGCTGCTTTCACAGAAGACTCCAGGAGGAGTGAATCTTCAGTGTCCTTATACCATGAGCGGTTGGCACATTTCTGCAAACATAGCAGGAAACAACACGTTAAGCTAGGAATGGCAAGTCCCTGCCACTCATACCATTGGCCATCCTGAACCCACACAGATATCACCAATCAGGCAAGTGTTCTTTTTTGTGGAGCTTGAGTCTTTTGCAGTTTTTCTCCACTCAGCACTCCAGGTAGCCACAACCATCAGTTGGAGTTAGCATTCAAGGTGGAGCCCTGGGCAGATCTGCCATGTTTCCTGTATGTGGTAAGTCCAGGTGCTTAGTCCCTGACTGAGGACCCTAGAATAATGCAGTTTGAGAGGCCTATAAAGATCACATGCCCTATCCTGTCATTTAACAGAGAAGGAACCTGAGGCCCAGAGAGGATGTGATGGTCCCAGTGGCAGAACAAGGGCTGCAACCCAGGATTCCTGATTCCTAGGCCAGGATTCCTATCTCCACGTTGCCTTTAGTTTCTGTTCGCACTAGGGCACTTCCTCCTGCAGAAGGCGCCACACCCCTCCCCCAGGTGGCCCCTCTCGCCATGGGAAGGTGCCCCATTCACTGCTACTCCAGACCACCCCGTGACACCCCTGCAGGACCTTGCCCCTCACAATTTGCTTCCTCCTTGGGCCTTGGCCTTAGACAGGGTTTTCTCTTGAGGGGCATGCCGCCACTGCATGCTCTGTCCCAGGCACACCATGCTCTGCAGGGCCCCTAAAGGCCTCAGGCCAGGCTGGCTCCCTGCCCAAGCGCCTTTTGCTCCCTTTGCTTACGTGTCTGCCTCCGTGCACACCCACCCTGACATCCTCCCCTTTGTGTGCCTCAACTGTTAGTCATCATAACCCCCCTGTACCACTCACTTATTCTTTCTGTTTACTTGTCTCTCCATGAGCCCAGGATCCGCTTTAAGGGCTCCCATGTCAATGCTCAGTACAGTCATGTGCCACATAACGACATTTTGGTCAATGATGGAGCACATAGTGGTCCCATTAGGTTAGTACCATATAGCCCAGGTGTGTAGTAGGCTATACCATCTAGGTTTGTTAAGCACACTGTATGATGTTTGCACAGTGGTGAAATCGCTTAATGATGCATTTCGCAGAATACATCCCTGTCGTTAAGCAACGCATGACTATAACTGTTAAATGTATGAATGGGTGGGCTTTAATGCATTTTAAAGATGGCAAAGGAGGAAAGCAGGAATGTTTTTCTCTTAATTTAGATAGTCATTGAGTCTCCAGAGTGTCTTTTTACATATCTCTCTACAAAGGACTGTTGTATGTCCTTGGTTTGATATTAGACAAAATTAATGTTGAATCCCTACTATGTGCTAGCACTTGATGACTTTAAGTCAGGCACTTGAACTCCCAATGACTCTCTCAGGCACAAGGTCCGTGTATCATTGAGGCTGCTCTCTGCTGCAAGTAACAAACCTGACTTAAAGAGGCTTAAACAATAAAGACATTATCTCTAGTAACATGAAGTCCAAGGTTGGCTCATTCAGCTGCTCATTCTCAAGGAGTGTGGAGCCTTTCCATCTTTCTGCTCTGCTCTCCTTTTGTGTTGGTTTTGTCTTCAAGCTTGTTGTTCTCATCAAAGCCCGGATGCAGCCCTTCTGAGCATCAGTTGAGACATGACAATACAGTCATGCGTCCCTTAATGACGGGGATACATTATGAGAAGTACATTGTTAGGATTTCATTGTTGTGTGAACATCATAGAGCGTACTTACGCAAACCTAGATGGTATAGCCTACTGCACACCTAGACCATGTACTAATCATATGGGACTGCCATCGTATATGTGGTCCATGGTTGACTGAAACGTTACGTGGCACATAACTGTATCTACAGGCAGGAACATAATCGCCTCTTTGTTTTATCCTTTTAAGAATGGAAAACTCAGAACTTCCTTCCAACCGTAGCAGACTTACCTCATGTCTCATTGGTGCAGAATTGCTTCATGCACTCACGTCTATATCATGGTAAGGCAAATGGGACCACTCTGATTGGTTCAGACCAACCAGGAAATAGCGCTGGAGCTGGGGACAGGCTTTCTTTAAGCACATGCTGTGGCCATTGGAAGAAAATGGGGATGCTACTAGAAAGGAGGGAGTGTGCATGGAGGAATTGGATGTTGGGGCAACCACTACTGTCTGCCATAGTCCAGAAGGCAAGTTTGTCAAGGCTCTCATGTGCTTAGGCTCTTTGTACACATCTCATTTAGACCTTAGGACAGCCTCGTGGCGTGGGGAATCACTCCATTTTACAGACAGTCAATGGGAGCCCAGTGAGGATAAGGACATAATAAGTGGCAGCACCAGAATCAAACTTGAATCTGTCTGATTCCAAACTCTACTTTCCATCCTCATGCTGCCTTCACTTGTGAATATGGAAATGTTTGAATAATATTCTCTCATATTTTTCCCTGATAGCAGCCAAGGCTACACATCCCAGCTTCTTTTCAGCTTAGCTCACCATAAAAAGCTGGATCAGAGATCTACTTTATCAGCTCTTTCTGATTTCCCCTAGGGAAGTGAAGAGAATGACAAACACTTGGAGAAGGGAGATATCATTGGTATTAAAGTGAACTGGAGGCTTGGGGGAAATAAAGCTGACTAAAACACAACAGGGTCTATGCTCTCTGAGATGTGAGCCAGGGGAAGATAAGGGGTTTAGATGCATATCCCACTAGGTTTTTGCTGTGTTCTGGCATGGAGTTATACTGGGTAGTTAAAACTGTCCAACTAGGTGTGTTGGGGATGGGCAATGGAGAAAGCTGTGCGGTGCATGAAGCTTAAATTAGCGCTATGTATATTATTCATCAAAGGTTACCCTCAAAAAGTTGCTTTCCTTCATTTTTTCCTGTCTTATTGCACTGGCTAGACTAACTCCTGGTACTAAATTGAATAGAAGCAACAATAGGCATTGTCCTTGTCTTGTTCCTGACTTTAGTGGGCTGTTTCTAATATTTTATCATTAAGTAAGATGCCATAGCTTCCCTGTAGTTACCTCTTGTCAAGGTAAAGACCTCATTCTGTTTCCCATGTGTCCTGGAGAGGGATGCCAGGTACTGGCCATTACATTGGCCATGTGTAGAGTAGAGTTCTTTCTCCCAGCCAGTGGAAGGTCCATGCGTCCTGGAGCTGTACAACTGCATGTCAGCTGCTGCACAAGTTTGACTCCTTGAGTAGCCTTTGAATCCTAGCTCTTCCCTGCCTCTTTGTAGTTTCTGGGTGTAATAGCTTCAAATTAAACCTGGGTTTGCCAGAAGATAATGGGCCTGTGCTAAAAAGGATACAAAGTCAAGGAACAAGATTTTTTACATCTCAACTAACTTGGTCTTAGCTCTGACACTTACTTGCTGCATGTCATTGGATCAATCACTTAGCTTCTTTAAGCCTTAGTTTCATCCACTGTGAAATGGGGAAAATAATACCTGCTGCATAGAATTGCTTTAGGGTCATATAGCTTATATAAAGCACTGAATACTGTTCAGGCATGTAATAGGCACTCAATCTCATATCATTGTGAGGTTTATGATGCCTGGGAGATACTGGTAACAGCTTCCTTCTGTCCTGGCAAGGCCAGCTTCATGCTAATGTGAGCAGTACAGTTGCACAGAGCCCTGTGCTTAGTTTAATGCTCTGCTGTTGCCATCTTGAAATTCTTTTTTTTTTTTGGTGCCAAAGATTGGCGCTAAGCTAACATCTGTTGCCAGTCTTCCTCTTTTTGCTTGAGGAAGATTGTCACTGAGCTAACATCTGTGCCAATCTTCCTCTACTTTGTATATGGGATGTCACCACAGCATGGCTTGATGAGCAGTGTGTAGGTCCGTGTCTGGGATCTGAACCTGCGAACCCCAGGCCGCCAAAGCAGAGTGCGTGAACTTAACCACTACACCACCAGGCCAGCCCCATCCTGAAATTCTTAATGCTGTCTGTGGATCCGAACCTGTGAACCCCGGGCCGCTGAAGCGGAGCGTGTGAGCTTAACCACTACGCCACTGGGCCGGCCGCAAGGGTCCCACATTTTGCACTATGCCCTGCAAACTATGTAGACAGTCCTGTCTCCAGGAATGAGTAGAACTCTTTTTTTTTTTTTTTTTGAGGAAGATCAACCCTCTGCTAACATCCATGCTAATCCTCCTCTTTTTTTGCTGAGGAAGACTGGCCCTGGGCTAACATCTGTGCCCATCTTCCTCCACTTTATATGGGATGCCGCCACAGCATGGCCTGACAAGCAGTGTGGTGGTGCGCGCCCGGGATCCGAACCTGGGCCGCCAGCAGCGGAGCGTACGCACTTAACCACTATGCCACCAGGCTGTCCCTGAGTAGAACTCTTTTACTGGCATTTGTTTTGGGAAAAACGCTACCACTGATTTCTTAGGGAATAACTCCCTCAGAGAGTAACCTCCCATAGAAAAATTGGGGTTAGCATCCTGTGTCTGTTTATCTCTAACTGTTCCATTCTGGCGTGACCTACACAGCCTCTCTCAGAAACGAATACTTTCTATTTTACAGAATTTATTAGGTCCAGAGAAGTTAAGAGAGGGCTGGTGAAGTGGAATGATGATTTGGGATTTTGGAATCAGGAAAAGATCTAGGTTCGAAGCCTTGCTGGGCCCTTTCTGGTAATGTCTCTGTCTCATTGGTAAAATCTATGTTGCAGGGGAATTACATTTTCTTTATTGGTAAAATATGTCTCAGGGGAATAAACAGATAATTTATGTAAAGTGCCTTTCACAGAGAGTCTGGTACATAGTAGGTGTTCAATCACCATGAATTCTTCTGGCTCTTGCCAGAAGTAACAAAAATCAGAGCACCAGGACTTACAAACTATGCCGCTACTAATAAAAGAAATAATATGATTTATTTTTTCACTACTGTTTGGGGAAAGGCATGCGCTTCATAAATATGTATTGGAAAGTACTTAGCAAATGAGTGAAATAATAAAAATATGTCAAAGTAAACAGCTCCTATAAATATGTCACTTGGTAGACAAATTAGCGTTTTATAACTACTAAATACTATTGCTCACTGAAAAGGATTTCAGATTACTTGCACAATGGGTGCATTATTGAGTGCCTCTGTGGAAGGGCACAATAAAAATGAAAAATAGTGATGGTGGTAATGCTCAAGGTGGAGAAAGTAGAGGAGACCACCTCGCTTCAGGGATATGCACATTATTTAGCAGCATTCCAATGATTTAGCTGTAATATGGACCAGAGGCCCCAGAAAAAACAATTTTCCACAGGATGGCGTGAATCCAGACTCTAATTATTGGGTCCAATCAGTGAATTAAACGCACCCTCTTTCAGAACTGAGCACTCAGCTCGTAAACTAAGCTTCAAAAAGACATCTCTGGGTCTCGCCGCATTCTTGTTCTGGACCTATTTACACTCTATGACTATAAGTAACATCAAGAGAAGGAGAGACTGGGTGGAGAATCACAGGTCACAAACTCATTTCAGAAATAAGAGAGGATGAACAAGGTCTTGGTATCTCAAGAGAAAAGGCACCAGAGAGGGGAAAAGAAGAAACAATAAACGCCTTCATGGGGGAAAATAAAGCCCTGGAGAGAAGCCGAGAAGACAAGGAATTGCACCAAGGAAAGTTACTATGCCAGGTAGGAAAAAGATGGGCACATTTAATACAGGTGTGGGAGTCCTCTAGAAGGCCAGTGTTTCCACGCGTTCCTGGTAGTGGAAAGACCTGGTTTCAAATTCCAGCTCGACTTTTTTCTAACTGTGTGGCTTTGGGTAAATTACTTAATCTGTAGATCTTCATTAATAACGTGGGAATAATACTACTCGGTTTGCTGGGTTGCAAAGATAGGAAATAACACTTGTAAAGTGACAGAGTTTGCATGTATAAATGACATTATTTTTACCTTACTTTTCCTTGTGATATTCCTTATTTTGAAATACAAATTGCTCAAAACAACTCTGGGAGGTCTCCATAGGAACCTAAAGCATAAGAAAATTAAGTATCACTAGACACCGCCAGAAGAAGGATTCGAATGTATACTATTTTCATGCCTAGGCATTTTCTTAGCCCATGCTGGCTAATGATTCCCCATGCAACCCTGGTAGTTCCTAGTTTACTAGGCACTTTAGGTGCATTAGCTCATTTAATCCTCAGAGCAACCACACCAGTTCCTTCAGGGATGAGGAAACCGGAGTTCAGGAAGATTGGGTACCTGCTGAATGGTACACAGCTGACGATGGCTAAGGTGGGCTCCTCCGCACAGAGTCATTTTCATTCTACTAGGGTCTTCCTCTGAGCTGTTTCCTCACCTTCCTGAGGTGATATTAGCTAACCCCGGGAATTTAGACTGGGAAAAGCTAGAGGAGGGGCGCGCCACAGAGCGAGTGGGACAAACAGGGGTTTTGATGTCCTATAGATCTGGCTCCCAGCTATACCGCCCAGCTACGGGACCCTGAACAAGCTAGTGAACCCTGCTGGGCCTGGGTTTCCTCCATGGTATTCTGGGGAAGCATAACCTGCTTACAGCATTGTTGTGAGGAACGAGATACGCAAGTGAGGCAACTTTCAAACTGTTATTGCGAAACGAGTTCAGGGATGTTAAGGGACTCGCTCAAGGTCACTAAACTGGACCACGACCCAGCTAAGACTGGGACCTGGACCCTTCAGCTCCTCGCGCAGACTTCGGTGACCAAGGCAACGGGGAGCAGCGGGCTCCCTGACACCCGGGAATCGACGCCTCGCCGGGACTCAAGTTGGGCGGGCCCCGCGTCTGGCGGCCTCGGCTCCGCCAGGGGGCGCGCGCGGCTGGAGCCTGGTCTCCGCGCGCGCCTGGCCCCTCTCTATGGTGGCTCGGGCGCGGCGGGAGCGGAGGCGCGCTCTCGCGAGGGGGCGGGGCCGCGCGAGGGGCGGGAGTGGCCCGGCTGGGCGGCTGGGGATGGGGGGGAGGGGGGGGGGGGGGCCAACTTCCTGGGGCAGCCCGTGAGGATGTCGCGGCCACCCCCCGGTGCCCCTCAGCCCCGGAGACCCCCCGCCTGAGGCATCCGCGGCCCGGATCCGGCCCCTCCCCTCCCAGGTGCGGGCTGGGCAGGCGGCCGCGGCAGGTGAGGCGGCGGCGGCGGGGCGCTGGGATCCGTAGAGCACCTGGCCCGGGGTGGGTCCTGGCGGAGGCCGGGGTGGGGGGCGCTGCTCGGCCTCGGGTCTCGCCGTGGTCTGGGGGCGCCTCCTCTGCGGGACGCGGCCTGGGACTCCCCTTGCTTACTGGGATGGGGAAGCCGGTGTCTCGCTGGAAGTCTCCGCATTCAGGCTAGCCCGCACCTGTCCCATGAAAAGTCCTCTCAAAGAACGCTTTTTACCTGTGGGGACAGTAACAGGAGACGTGTATTCTCAAATGTCTCCAGACGCCCTACAGACCGGCAGGTTCAGTGGCCTGTGGGGGAAAGATGCCGCTTCCGGCAGAGGAAACGGAGTCAGGTACGCGGCGGCCTGCGTCCCTGCTTCCTAGTGGAGGAGCCCTGCGGGCTTCTTGGAAGAAGGCGGCGGCTGGAGTTCAGAGGCTTGATGGAGAAGTTTGGGAAGGTGGTTCTCCCCCGCCGTCCACTGTTCCCTCTTTTGGGAGTTGTCCTCTGTTAATTTGCGGTGATGTGTGTGAGGTCGCCAATGGCTAAGACGGAGAGGGAGGTGCGGCCTCTCTCCAGCTGGCCGCCCAGGAGACATTTGACGAGGCATGGGGAAGTATGGCTGGACCAGGGGAGCCAGAGCCTTGCAGGCATCTGTCTGCCCAGAGCTTGATTTCAGGCTGGCAGAAGATATAAACAACGGCATATTTTCTCCTTTTGGTTGGCCTGTCGTTTGTTCTAGGGGGAAAAAGCTGCTTGTGTGATTAAGAGTGTACCATGCTCCTCCCAGTCTGCCCTAGGGAAGAATTATTGTCAGCTTGGAAATAGAGTTTTACCCAGAACTGTCACTTTGCACTCTGGCTAAAGGCCACAGTGACGTGATGAACAAACATCCCCAGGTGCTTGTGGCCTTCTTAGAAAGCAGTGAGTCCCTTTTACAGGTGGTTTGGAGGGCAGAGAAGACTTCCTGTCACCCCTGTTGCTACAACTGTTTGGGAGCCTTGTGGGTTTCCCAGTGACCGTTCAAGTTACTGAAATGTGGCCAAGGCTGTCCATTTATTCAACCATTTTCTAAGGAATGGGAGTAGGCAGGGGACATGGTGCTGGGCTGAGTTCGTATACAGAGTTCTAGGGTTGGGAGCTGGCAGTGATACTTCCTTTTTATTCAGGGGATTTCAGGTCTGACAACTTGATCCTTTGTTCCTGATTGCATTCTCTTTCACATTCAAGGAAATAGAGAATGGCAAGCATTTCTGAAACTTGATGGCATATTTCCAAATAATTCGGGACCTCAGTGTACAATTCAGATGTGTTATTTTCTAAAGTTTGAAAATTATATATAATAGTTGCAGATTGATGTGGCTAATAATTTGATTGTGCTTGAAGAAAATTTCCATGTAATCTAAGATGCACACACACTTTAATGTCTGTATCTAATTACCAGGATCAGTCCACTAAAAACTGTTGTATTGAACAGGTAGACAGCTGTTATCCTGACTGTTTACATTGGGATCAGGGTTGTAAACCTCTGAATTGACTTAATTTAACCAGTTGCTAAAATAATACGCACAAAAAGAGAGAGCTGTTCTCGGAAAGGTTAGAAGTTAATTTGTTTTCAAACTTTCTCATGGCCAAGCCAGTTGACATAATTCTGCTTAGCACCATCTGATAGGAATGCCTCTTTAAGGGCTCTTAAAATAGCAGTGGAAAAGGCATTTTCAGTTACCAGCATTTAAAAAGACAAAACAAACAGCAGCAATAACAAAAAAGGGCCCAATTTCTTTCCTAATTACATATTCATTGTGAGGTTTTAAAACAGCCACACCCATCTGTAAGTGTTGTGCCTAGGACTTGCTGAAAACACCTACATAAACCTAAGGAGTGTTAGGGGGACTAATTCCACCTTCATTTTTCATTCTTATAATAGAATCTTTAATACTGCTGTTGTTTTAATGGTAGATCAGAGACTTTTATAGCAAACTTGTACTGGCTGTAGTGTTTATGTTTTGGGAGAAAAGATTTAACCTCTGGGGCCGGCCCCGAGGCTTAGCAGTTAAGTGCGTGCGCTCTGATGCAGGCTGCCCGGGTTCGGATCCCGGGCGCGCACAGACGCACTGCTTCTCTGGCCATGCTGAGGCCGCGTCCCACATACAGCAACTAGAAGAATGTGCAACTATGACTTACAACTATCACCTGGGGCTTTAGGGGAAAAATAAAAAAAATAAAAAAAAAAGATTTAACCTCTGCACCTTGGAATCTCATAACCCCTGCAGTACAGAGGTAAGTTATAATTTAGGGTTCAATGAGAATACATAGTTTAAATTGCTGTTGGTGAAGTCTCAAGGGACGAACTGCTTCATCATTATTGTTTGGTAATGGTTACTGGTTATTATTTTTGTTTGGTTACTGCTTATTGGTAGTGGTTGCTTGTGTTTATGTAAGAAAGATTTTGACAGTTGTAAGGGCAATTTTTTTTTATATCCAAATACATAAACTCCCATTCCTTCGATAGGGAAATGGCGTGGTCACTTTCTTATTTTGTGACTTTATATTATTCATGGAGTTTTAAAATCCTAAAACCAGTTGTGCTCTTAATAGGATATCCTATTATGTCTCACATGAAAGGTATCCCAAATAGGTAGGAATCATTGGCCTTATGTGTTGCAAGACCTCAGCTCTCCCAGTTTCCAGGATTTAGCAGTTGCCATGGTCAGGACAGTGGTTTTATCTAATCCTATAATGCCATTCTTAGTTTAAACCCATTATCCTCCTTTCTCTTCATTAAGACTCATGAAGTTTCTCTGCTTTCTCTTGTTCAGGTTGAATATTCCACATTTTTGATGCATTTGGGCCTGTTAATGTTCTGAATTGGAGCTGAGCAGTTGTTTAAGAGAATCCTCTGTGTTTTTTCCTTTTTCAGAGCAAGCATAAAATCTGCATTTCCTCTGGGGTAAAACCAGCTCTTTGAATCTGATAGAAAAATAGAAGCTGGTTTTTCCAGCTGTCTACCAATACGAAATCTTCCTAACCTTTTCTTACTTTCTGGTTTTGCCAGTACAGTGACTAGTGACTAGTTGTGAATGAGGAACTGGAGGCATTGGGAGATGCTGAAGGCTCCTGAATCATCAAAAGAAGGTCACATTGTCCTCAATGCAGCTTTAGCCTTTTTAGCGTTTTATTGCAAAGAGTTTCCAAAAGCCAGCCACTCCTTGAAAGATTCAGTACCTAGCAGTTTGCAACTGAGTCACAGAGGGGTTCTTTAAAAATACAGATTTCCCAACCCCACCTCCTGGAGATTTTGATTGAGTGGATAAGTGATGACTCAGAATCTACATTTTAAAAACCACTCTGGCATCTGTTTCCAAAAAAGCTCCCCAAGTGATTCTGATGTGCAGCCAGTTTTGGGAGCCACTGTTGCATTGCTTTGAAATTCTTTATAAATTGCTAGTCCCTTTAAAAGCATCATTATGTTATCCAGGATGTTTGATTTGCTAGAATAGCCCATTTCCGAGTCATGACAGATAACAGAGCTTCTATAACTTTTATGTAAATTACTTTACAGAGAGGCCCCCTCCGCTGTATTATCTATCAGGAGTCATGAGGGAGGGTTGATAAAAGTAGCGTCCTTTATTTCCTGAGTGGGCGAATGGATGATAATGTGGAAACAGCTGGAAGTCTGAATAGGTAGTCGAATCTAGTTATGCTCAGTGTTGGTAGGAGAGATTCCTGGGAATTCTCTGTAGGTAGGCTTTAAAATTGAAGCCAACTTGCCAGATGTTCCGTTTCTACATAGCTGAAGCGCTAATTGAAAATAATGGATGCTTAATAGTCAATAAAATTTAGTCACAGATCCTTTGCTGAGCTCATGGAAGAAACGAAAATTGCTGAAGTACATAACCATCAGAGTTAAAACAGAATCGGGGCATTAAATTTGTCAGTTGGGGAATTAAACTTGGGAAAAGCCTAACAATTTAGGAAATGGACAAACCTGGTTTTGAATCCCCTCTCTTCCACCTCCTGGCGGTGCTGCTTTAGACACGTTACTTAACCTCTGTGAGCTTCATTTTCTTCATCTGCAGGATGAAAATAGTGCCTGGTGGGATCGTTATGTGCATTAAAAGAGAGAAAATATGTTCTTTGTACATTGTAGGCAACTAAATGAATGTTCTTTTCTCCCACTTTCCTATAGGATTTTTATTCTGTAGGCTTAAGATGTCTTTGTAAATCCGGCCTCCTCTATATCTCTTTCCAGGAATATCTACTCAGTCAGCTCTTTTAGAAATGTATGGAAGAATGAAGATTAAAGTAAAGAACTAGAGAATATGGGTAAGAAGAATGAGTCATAGGACACTTAAAAATTTTTTTTGTTTAGAATGAGTGGAGTGTAGGCATATATCCCGAGTTACTGTCTACAGGGATAAATTAATACAGATGCTGCCTCATGTATCCGGGTGCTAGCCCGGGAGCTCAGATCAGGCTAGGAAGCTTTGAGGGTGGCCCCGTAATGTAGCACCTGATGTCCATTTCCTTCCCATCTTCCTTTCTCCCTTTTGTTCTCTTTTGTTTCTCTTTCCCTCTCCTCCTCCTCCTTTCACACTGCCTTTCCTTTCGACTTGCCCATCATGCCACAAAAATCACAGGCCAGGCCCCTGGAACTCGAGGCTAAAAGAGGTTGCTGGTTGCTAACACCTGTCTCCCAGCTAAATGAATAGGCTCTTTTGTGGGCAGGGTGTTAAAAAAGCTGATTAGTACAATACTGGCTTAAAGGACCTATTTAATGATACAGCATATGTAAATCACGGAGTGATTTAAAGCCATTTTAGAGATTTGTTTCTTATAGTACATATTTATTTTTTAAGTTGAATTATGATGTTGGTTCAATTTTTACATCTAAACCATGAATCTGTTTATTGCCCAAACAGACTAATTTCTGTCATACTGATTGGGAATCATTTGTATGTTAAAGAAGTTTCTACCCTTAAGGG